ATTCTCTCCCCTGTTCCCTGGGCAGGGGGGAGAGTGAGAGAGTGACTGTGTTTAGCTGCAGCTCAAGGAGTGACACCACCACAGCCGGGGCTCTAAGGCCATCACCTCCACACTGGAGCTCCTCAGGCAGCGAGCCGGCTGGTCCCCGGGGGAGGTGGGCTCCAGCTGATGGCAGGGACCAGGGGACCCTCCACAGGGACACTGCCAGCCCAGCCTGGACACGGGGCAGAGGGGAGGCAGCTTGTGGAAGGTGACCTGTTTAGGGACATGGGTTAGTCGGGGACTTGTCAGTGTTGGGTTCATGGTTGGACTCGATGAGCTTGAAGGGCTTTTCCAATCCAGGAAATGTTGGGATTCTGGGATTCTGCTTGATCCCAGGTGAGGGACAGGGAGAGCACAGCTGGGCTCAGCCACTCCCGAGGGCATCCAGGGAGAGCAGGGAAGGGAAACCTTCCAAACCCCACCAGTGATGGGGCTGCATGGTCAGAACAGGCTCCACACAACAGAGCTCCATCACCATCTCAGTGAGCCCTGGGGTGCACAGGGGAAGAAACTGAGGAGACGTGGGACACACATCAGCCTGGGAAGGGGCCACCTGGTCCAACCCAGGGTAGGAGCTACGCTGAGGTAAAGGTTCCCAGAAGCTCACCTGAGCAGGGCGGGGGGCAGAGCGAGGCTGAGAGGTGCCTTGTTTTGCTTTGCAAAGCAGATGGTGATGGAATCCAACTGCTCCCTACTTTGACCAAGGGAGGGTAAACCTTGGGACCGAGGCAGAACACTGTCCCGAGAACAAAGGGAGGCCAGGAACGGGAGAGCTTTCTAACCAGAGGAGCGAGGTTTGCAGATTGTGTGGGGCACTGGGGGCAGGTTTGGGGGGTGACAAAGCACATCTCACAAGTTCCCAGACTCCTGAGACCGTGCCCAGGTCTGAAGCTGGACCAGGAGCTCTGGAGGTTTCTGGAGGTTAGTGGTACAGGCACAGCTCCCCCAGCAAGTCCTGGCATCCACCAGCGTGGAGCACCAGGATGACTGACTGACCATCTCCAGCGGCCACGGTGAGAGCACCCAGCCCAAACTGGGACTGGCAGCCTGGCAAAGGGCATCCCCAGGTGACAAGCCCACAGCCCAGGTGACATGCAGAGCGAGTGAGAAGAAACCCTGGGAGCAGTGAAGGTTGCAGTCTGAGCCAATGCCACCTCGCAAGCTCCCGCCCAGGGTGAAGGCATCTTACGTGGTTGAATGGCCAAGGTGCCCAAGGGACATGACCCCAACTGTCAGGCCCTGGAAGATATCGGTCACCTGCTGGGAGCTGAGTCACAAACACACGGGGAGAGACGCTTGAGACTCCAGGGCACACCAAGCACGAAGGCAGCAGCACGCGGAGCCCAGCGCCACAGCATTGCGTCCCCGAGCCAGCGAGTGCGGGAGCGGGGCTGGCACCGCGCACACGGCTCCACCGCTGCCCCCGGCGCTCCCCGTCCTCCGGCACGGCACACACCCTGCCCACCAGCACCTCTCCCAGGAGATGCCTCCTCGGGGATTGGGTTGGTTTGGCTTGGGCAAGGGGACAGGGAATGACACCTCGCTTCTTGAGTTTGAGCGGTCCTCTGCGTGGGGACGGCTGTGGGACGTGCACGTCCCCTCCCAGTGACAAGAGGGGATCCTGGGCAAGGAGAGGTCTGAGCAAGGTCGGCTCAGGGACCACAACCTCCAGCTCAGGAGCTTGTGTCCCAGCTTTTCTGGGGACTGGAGCAGCTCTGCGGTGAGGACAGGCTGAGAGAGTTGGGGCTGTTCAGCCTGGAGAAGAGAAGGCTCCGGGGAGACCTTCTAGTGGCCTCCCAGTACCTGAAGGGGCTCCAGGAAGGGTGGGGAGGACCTGTGACAAGGGCAGGGAGTGACAGAACAAGGGGTGATGGCTTGAAAGTGTCAGAGGGGAGATGGAGATGAGATGTGAGGAAGAAATTTTTTGGCATGAGGATGGTGAGCCAGTGTCCCAGGTTGGCCAGAGAAGCTGTGGCTGCTCCTCCCTGGAAGTGTTTGTGGCCAGGTTGGATGAGGCTTTGAGCAACCTGGTCTAGTGGAAGGTGTCCCTGCTGCTGGCAGGGGGGTTGGGACTGGATGAGCTTTAAGATCTCTTCCAACCCAACCCAGTCTGGGATTCTGTGGTTCTCGAGTGTCCCCTGCTCCGTGGCTCTCCTGGGTGGGCTGGAGGAGGGAGAGGAGAAGCCCTGCAGTGCCCAAAAGGGACAAGCACCTTGTTCTCCCCACGCGACAGGTACCTGAGCGAGGGGTTCTTCTCCTTGGCCTTGGGCTGCATGGCTTGCTTGGGTGACTGGCCCACGGTGAAGGCGAAGGTGCCACGCACGTGCTGAGGGTAGCGCAGCTTGTGCAGGTGCTTCCTGAAGACCTCGGCGCTGTCTGAAGCCACCTCCTCATCGAAGGCAATCTTCAGCAACTGGAGGAACAGCAGAGAGGAGGCTGAAGGGCTGGTGGCAGCGTGCTGGGCAGGGCTGGGCCAGGGGACTGGGATGGGCTCTGCCCACAGCACAAGACAGAACTCAGGTCCCAGTTGGGAGCAGGGACAACGGGCACTGGCCAGGCTGGGAGGTTGCCCTGGCTGTCCCGCTGTGCCAGTTGCTCTGTCCCATGGCCCTTCCTCCTGGAGACCACTCCATACCCAACATTGCTGCTCCTGTGATGTCCCCAGCACCCAGTCATGGTGGTTCTGAGCACAGGAGATGAGCAGGAAGGAGCAGACAGCATTTTAGGTGTTCTCCTCCCAGCTCTGCTCTGCCTCCACAGGTCTCTCAGAGACATAAAATGCTGAGTAGCACCCGGTGTTGTGACATCTCTCCCTGTTCCATTTGTCCCTCCCAAGACCTGCCACAATGTTTTGCAGAACCACTTCCCCAGGTGACACGTGGGGATGTCTCACACCTCCTCAGGGCTCCAGCAGCCACCAGAGCAGCTGGAAAGAAGCCCCAAGCTAACGAGCAAGAAGTTGCTCCTGTGTAGAACAGGACTGTGACTGGAGCAGCTCTGCTGTGAGGACAGGCTGAGAGAGTTGGGGCTGTTCAGCCTGGAGAAGAGAAGGCTCCGGGGAGACCTTCTAGTGGCCTCCCAGTACCTGAAGGGGCTCCAGGAAGGCTGGGGAGG